TCCGGTCCGATGCAGTGGGCGGGGCCCAAGTTATTCCGGACTTCGGTTCAATGCAGTGGGCGGGGCCCAAGTTATTCTGGACTTCGGTCTGATGCAATGGGCGGGGCCCAAGTTATTCCAGACTTCGGTCCGATGTCGAGGTTAGCCCGATGCAGTGGGCGGGGTCCAAATTATGCCAGACTTCGGTCTGATGTCGGGCGGGGCCGATGCAGTGGGCAAGGCCCAGTATGTGTTATATGTGTTATTGTATGGTATGTGGTAGTTTGGGGGAGCTCACTAAGCTTCGTGCTTACAGTTTCAGTTTTGGTTTCAGGTACTTCAGCTAGCAAGGGAAAGGGCTCGGGATAATGGCATGGCACACACCACAGTTTTCTTAGTCTGGGAGTTTACTCTGATATTTTATATGAGATTGTGAAATGATGACAGATCTTATGAGATTTTGAGATACACGTTTTTATGATTTTATACTATGGCGAGGATATTTATGTTGTTAAATGATTTGGAAAATGAAATTTTTGGCTAGTATTTTTGGGATGTTTCACCTGTCATATGATACACATATGTCTTTGTTGTTCTTTGTCCCTTTTTGCTTCTGTCATATTGATATGTATATGTCATAGCGTTATATTGTAACTGTTATTGAACTGACTAAGCGTCACCCGCTTTATCCCTCTCAGTGTTTAATTATTGCAGGTGATAAGCATCCAGTATAGTTTTGTACTGGTAGAAGATGTAGAATATATAATATTATAGCTTTTGTATTTAGTATATAAATTCCTGGGAAGTTATGTAATATATAAAATCTTGTAAAAATCTTAATAGTCGGTTTGTATCCAGTCTATGTAATTAAATTATCAATGTAAAATATTGCTTTATGAATATGCATGTAGCATGTTTTGGAGTATCATGATGTATTTTTTATCGAAAGGGGTTCTTTCACTTATTGGGACCCTAAAGGTTCATAAAAATCCAAATTTTATGGAAATGCATGACCCATGCATGTTCTTCACTCAAACTAAGTCAAAATATAAGAAAATTACCTAAATCTCATACATAGCTTTCAAAACACTCTCAACTTCTAGATATAGAAGATAAAATACTCTAGGGAACCTTGGTGAGTCATAAAGTTTCTAACTTTATTACATCCATTCATTAAAACTTCAACAATGGACCATAATATGCTAACTTTCTTAGATCCACAATAAATGAACCATAAAGATCAAGCCTTAAAGACTTACAATGGTCCAGAAGATGATCACAAAGGTGGAGATGAGTTGCTTGATGGATCCTTGCACCAGAACACTTCTTCTTCTTCCTTTAAAGGTCACAAAGTCACCAAATGAGCTCCAAAGCATGAAAGGAGGCTAGGGTGTGATCGTATGCACTTAAAGGAGTGATGGAGGCTGGGGGTGGACAAACCCTAGCCATCACATCCCTTAAATAGGGCCTTAGGCCCGATAATTAGGGTTTTGAGCCCCATTCGTCGCCACATCGTGGCCAATACATGACCACGTCGTGGCCGCTTAAAAAAATCGCGACTTAAAAACGTTGTCACGTCGTTGTGATCCTCCTCACCATGTCGTAGCCACCAAAAATCCACAAGATCGAAGTATAAAATTCATACATGAAAAACGGATGTTACAGGCCTCAAGAACCCTATTGTTGTTTCAAGTATTGCAACTAAGACAGAGAGACAAGGGAGATCCCATTGAACTTGCCTTGATTGGATGAAGGCTAGTTGACTTCGATATTGAATATACTCGCATGTTGGAAACGAGTTAATGAGTGGTTTTAAGATATCATAATCGGATTTGCGTAAAGGATGTCTTATGTGTTTTATCTGAGGCGGATTTCAAGGACGGGATCCAATTCAAGTGGGGGAGAATTTTAACACCCGAGTTTCGATTGGATTTTTCATTCTTTAATTATTATTTTTAAGTTTAAGGAAAAGTAAAGCTTTGAGCAAAGCACAATGGATTTAATTGCAAGGATTTATGAAATAGCTTGGGTCACAGTGCAACCTGTAAGTCACGCGATGCGGTCCTATTGTTTGGGCTTGAGGCTTAGGCCTTGATATTTGGGCCTATATAAGAGCATTAAGACCAAGGTTTCGTCATTTGTAGCATCCATATCTCCAAGAACACCCCTTATGGAACCATAACCTCCTTTGATGTGTAGCTCATCCTCTCTCCTATATCCATTTTTAGTGTTGTTTTGTGTTCTTGAGAAAACGAAGCAAGAAAGATTGATCTTTGGATCTTAGTACTTAGTGTATTCAGCCTCATCTACTCTTTATGGACCTTTGTAAGTTCATAGATTCAAGCTTTATGGTTTGTTCTATAAAGTTTGGAGAAATCTTGAGATATTTATTCATGTTTGGTTCCAGATCTGATCACATGATGGAATAAAGAGTGCATGCAAGATCCATCTTTGCTCCATGCATGAAGATAAGTGTATTTTGGGCATTTGTGGATTCATGGTTTAGATTATTGAGTGATTAAACCCTACTTACGAATAAAGTTGGGAACTTTATCCATTAATACCTTTGTGAGAATCAGATCTGAAGTTTTGAGCTTCTGGACTTATAGGATTAATGGAAGGTTGTTAAATCGGATTCGCGGCGCGACGAAGTTTGAGGCTCACGGCGCGAGTTTTGAGGTGGATCGCAACTATTTTGTTGCATATTGGTCACGACGCGACTAGGGTTAGTTACGACGCGATGGTTGTTGACTGTTGACGTTGACTTTGATTGTCGACTTTTGATTAGTTTGACTTTTGGTCAAATTTTTCGGGTTTTGAGTTGTAGATTGAGTTTAGGCCTCTATTTGACGTTAGGCGGTTCATGAGACTGTTTCTTGCGGAATTCATATTTGTAGTTTTGTTTCTTCAGTGTTCGATTCAGGTGAGTTTTATCACTATATTACTTATGACATGGTTAATATGCCATGACTATATTCGTGGCTAGAGTAGTAGGGTCTTGCTTGTTGCTTGTATGTTTACATGCTTCGTTGGGTTGAAATAGACCGTTGGGTTGAAACATATTTGTTACCGTTATGTATAGTTATTTTGTGATGTATGTGATAGTTTGGAGAACTCACTAAGCTTTGTTCTTATAGTTGTGGATTAAATATTTTTCAGGTACTTTTTCAGATTGTGGGAAGGCGAATGCGTGATTGTATATGCATCAGCTGTTTTATGATTTGAGATTTCCGCGTTATTTTTTTTTTCTTATTACTCTGATTTTGGATTTTGGTTTATGAACAAATGGTTTATCTTGATTATACCTTTATAAAGATGGGTATTTATCTTAATTTAAATGAAAGAATTATTGTGAAATTTGAGATGTTACAAAAGGGGTTTTAAACACCCAACCTCCTACCAGAAAACGAAAGCTACTAATCTTTATGTTGGATATTTTTATATTGAAAAATGTGATTATAAAAATCATCCAAGTTTAATAAAAAAAAACTATTGAATTTATAATTCAAAATATGTAAATTGTTATTTATAAAAATATCCAAATATCTAATTAGTTTAAGGGGGTGTTTCACAAATGAGCTTATTAGCTTATTATCGGTTCCACACCGCTATAAACTAAAAAAATGTTTGGATAAAAACAATTTATAATAGTGACAAACTGCTAATAAATATTTTTTTATAAGTTAATTCTTTCTAACTTATTTGCTAATTTTTTTTGGTATTTTGTTTCCCACCCTAAAATGTTTGATGGCGATAGAATCACAAAATTACTGAAAAGCCCACATTAACCCAAGAGGAGCCAGCTGGCCCACCTCCTCAACATGCAAATATGCAATGAACCAATTGATTTCTTTTGTTATTAAATCAATTTACCCAATCATTTATTGATCAATAAATCATGCCTAAATTCTGGTGTTTGTTTTGTTTGTACTCTGTGCCATTGTCTCACCGACTAAGATCAGCCACCATAAACTCGTATCATCATTGTACACATTAAATAATCAAAACATTTTTCTATCATAATCATACATTTTGATTTAAAAAAAAAAACACACATCCGCAAAATAAGTATATCTATAAAAACAAAACAAAGGAGACGATTGGGAACCAGAGAATCAATGTTGAGGAGTCGTCAACCACTGTATTCCTCAACTTAATATCAAGTTGTATAACCTTAGCGTCTTTATTGTCTCGAAAAAAGTTTTTCAGGAATTATCCATATCTAAAAGGTCATAGCATTACTTTTTTACGCTTTGTTCCTGAGTTCTACTTAAGGAGAGATATAGATGGATATGGAGGGAATGTGAAAGATGTCGAAGGAAAATCGTGTTCCCGAGTTTAATTGATGAAAGTAAAGTGAGGGAAATGAAATGATTTTGTAGTCATATTTTCCTTCTAAATTTTCCTCCCAAATTGGACGGATTCTAGAAGAAAACACAGAAACTTGAATTGTTTTTTTTTTTCTTTTTCATTTTCTTTGAATTTGGGAACATGGAATAAGAAAATTTTTTCGATTCCCTCTATTTCTTTGTGTCAATATTTTCTTTTCCTTTCCTAAAAACTAACAAGGCGTTAAGGATCATCTAGAGCAACTATGATGTTGGTCATGCCATAGAACTTTTTTTTTGGAACGCCATAGACCTATTTTTGATAGGAGTCAATGAGGCTAGGAAATGTCTAGTGAGATATTAGAATTCAGGGTTTTAGGAGATCTGACATGATACTATATGAGATGATTATTGAATCGTTATCTCTGGTTAATTACATATAAATCCAAGACTAAAAAAAACTAATTGAATATACGAAATGGATTTTGTATCGGGCCTAACTGTACATCATCAATATAAGGTTAACAATTTTTATGATAAATCTAAACTCCAAAATCCAAATACAAAACCAAGAACATTATAAAACCAATAGAAAAGACAAAAGACAAATCCTAGCATAAAATATTATAAATAATAATTAAAATTGTACTTTAAATCATATAGTTAAAATAACTCATACGATCATCATAAACTAGGCCGATTCAACTACCGAAAGGTCAAAAATGGTGCACAAAACTAGATCTCTTCCAAAATCTTCTGACTGAAAACTGAAGAACAAAAGCCAAATAACATGAAAGAAGAAAACCTAACCTCATTACCTCAGGCTCAGAGCAGATCCGCAACATTTGATGGAAGCTCCTCCACAACGACATTGTAAAACTTCTGGATATCAAAAAGCATTCTCTCATCTTCTCTGGTCACAAAATTGATCGCAACACCCTTTCGCCCAAACCGGCCACTACGTCCGATACGGTGGAGATAATTCTCCGGCTGCGTCGGAAGATCGTAGTTAATCACAAGCGAAACTTGCTGCACATCGATTCCACGAGCCAACAGATCGGTGGTGATGAGGACTCGCGACGATCCAGAACGGAATTCCCGCATAATAATGTCTCTCGTGTTCTGATCCATATCGCCGTGCGTGGCGGAGACGGTGTGGTCACGGCTGCGCATTTTGTCCGTCAACCAATCCACCTTCCGTCGAGTGTTCACGAAGATAACACTTTGAGTAATCGCTAAAGTTTCGTACAGATCGCAGAGTGTTTCGAGCTTCCATTCCTCCTTTTCGACGTTCACGTAGAATTGCTTGATTCCTTCTAAAGTAAGCTCATCGCGCTTCACCAGAATCCGAACAGGTTTGTTCATGAACTTCCTTGTGATTTCTAGGGCTTCCGGCGGCATTGTGGCGGAGAACACCCCGACTTGAACCTTTGATGGAAGGAGCTGAAATATATCATAGATCTGAATCCAAAAAAATGTATACTCCGTTTTAGATCTCATACTCATTCCACAACTAATTTCTGTAAATCATCGAATATTACCTGATCTTTGAAGCCTCGTGAAAGCATTTCATCAGCTTCATCAAGCACAAACATGTTAATGTAATCTGGACGAAGAGATTGTCTTCGTAGCATATCAAAAACACGGCCAGGAGTTCCGACGACGACATGAACTCCGGCGGAAAGTATCCGTTGATCTTCACGAACACTGGTCCCACCAACACAAGCATGCACTTTTACACCAAGATAATCTCCTAATGCACGCATAACTTTTTCAATCTGTTGTGCGAGTTCACGAGTAGGTGCTAAAACCAAAGCTTGGCATTCGATTATGTTGTAATCGAGTTGTTGAAGGATTCCCGAGCAAAAAGTTGCAGTTTTTCCAGTTCCAGATTGAGCTTGTTGGATTACATCCAGACCCTTTGTGAAGGGTACGATTCCTCTCTGTTGGATTGCTGATGGTTTTTCGAATCCTACAAGGGTATTTTTGTAAAATCACGTTACATTTGGAAATTATGTATATGTAGTTATGTAAATACCATATGCATAAATGCCCCTCAAGAGGTTTTCTTGCAAACCCATGGCATCAAAACTCTCGTAAACTTCATCATATGAAGTGAAAAAATCTTGTCCATCAGCTGAAAGCCTGCATGCATGAAAGATATAAATGTTAATTTGTATCATTAAATAATGAAAATTAACAAAATGTAAAGAATCACATTCTTTCAAGATAAGTCCATTCTATTCCTTTAAACAAAACAAACAATTTTTGCCAATTCCAAAGGGAATGAAGTATTCCATTCCATTCATTTCCTGATCTTTTTATCGTATAGAATGAGTGTACACAAATGAAGTAGAAAATTAATCTCATTTGCAAAAGATGATGATGATGATGATGATGATGATGATGATGATGATATAAAGCTTACAAATCATTCATCTTTGAATCATATTGACGAGCATCAAAATGAGAGCCATCGGATAAGACACCTGCCATAACTGCAAAACGACAGCTATATAATAAGCTAATGGGGACTATCTTGCTTATTCAAATTAAGTCATAAATCAGGAAGCTTAAATTAATTAAATATAAAACAACAATTCAAAAAATCATAACAAATTTTTAAATTTGCATACTCTTAACAGAAATATAAATAAATTAGAACCACTGAAATGACTCGTAAGACTGTGTACAGAAGTAGATTGTTGCAATTTTCTCAGATCATCACTGAAAAGTGAAATCATGACCTTTTCATATAAGAAATCACAACAAACATTCCATTATTCCAATTGAATCATGATCACTAACAACCTACTAAAACTACAAGACTAATATACATTTTCTACACAGTAGGCATCAATAAGGGCAATTATACAAAATCAGCCTAAAATCAAATCTAATAGCAATAACATATGTACATCGAAATCAAAACCGTAATTCACATCATCAGTCATCAAAAGCAATACGAAATCGACCAATACTGAAAGTATGAAACAAAATTCGATTGATTTTCAGGGAAATGCGATGCGTAAGGAAATTAGCCATGCATAAAAGAAGAAACAGATGGAAATTATAAACGTAATGAAACCTGGAGAAGACGACGATTAACTGGTTATGCAATGAATAGAGAGGAGAGCGATGGTAGTTTTACCAAACTCCTCGGATCTAAGCCGTGGAGTTTAGAAAAATAAAGGTTACGAAGAGGGATGAAGGTTTTATACTGTTTGATAGGATCCAACTTGCAAGCGAGCGAGACTTCACATGTTGCCGAATTACATATTTACCCCTGAACATAAGTTCATAACACTAAAAAATGCTTGGCGTTTTGAAATATTTTATCAAAACATTAAAAAAAATATACATATTTAATGTACCCTTAATTAAGCAAAACATTAGAAAATGCCGAAATTGCATATTTAATTAATCAATCAACTTTTCCCATTTTCTCATAAAGGTAGCTAACTTATTTTCTTATTTACACCCATGATCTTTGATGTACATATGAAATTAAAGTCGTTAAAGAATGTTTGTTAAATGGAATGTGTGAATATCGAATTGAAGTTTGAAACTTTGGGTTTGTACAAGACAAAGTCATTCAAGTAGAATTGGACAGCAATTAAGTCAAAGTAATTTAATTGGAAAAATGAAAATAACTAACCAAAGTTAATATTATGCAAATAACCAAAAACTATATTTTTTGAAAAATGAACAACATTTCTAAAATAGGTCATTTTGAATCACTCAAAAATACTTTTTTCCCGACTAGAAATTGCATTTCAGTCCGGAATTCCGGATTTCGAAAAGAAAAATCAAGAATTTTAAAATTAAGTATGAAATTTGATTAACAATTTCGGAATTTTGATAAAAAAATACTTTCTTTTTTACAAAAATCAAACTAAAGTTTAAAAACATAGCAAATGAGAAGTACACCAGATACAATGACTTAAAATCAAGCATTTGATTGAAAATGATACTGATACTTTGAAATTGACATTTCAAACATTGATGGTGAGAGTTTTAATAAAAAAAAATGTGCAAATGAGAAAAAATTCACTAAATATTTTTTGTCAGTGAAATGTCAAAACAAGTTTGTTTGTAATCAGCGGAGAAAGTGATATTTCTACAAAACAGAAAAACGTGACTATTTTTATTGAAAACCTCATTTTTAATGACTAGATTAATCTATATTCTTTAAATTAGTAATAAGATGAATTCCACATAGTTTACACAATTTTAATTCATCATAAACTACGCAACCGGTTCTTTTCAGATTATTCGGTTGCAAAACACTTAATTTAACCAATTTCAAAAAATTTAACTTTAATAGAGATAAACATAAATCAAGATGATAAAATACATTGGGCGACCTATTCTTTTACGTCTGTGTCAGCACCTTTCATGGGTAAAAACAAACCTTCAAAATCAGAAACTCACCCAATAATACAATTATAGCAACAAATCACATAAACAAACAAATCCATACACATTGACGGGTAAAAAAGAAACTTTTAAAAGTACAAACACAAGTCGCAAAATTTGGCAACACAACAAGAAGAAACACATTGCCAATTCGCATAATATCTTATAACACAAAAAGTCTTCCACCATCATCATAAACATAACTTAAAACAAACAAAACCGATAACGATAACAATAACAATAATAATAATAATAGTATTAGTAAATCCCAAAAACAGCCTCTAAACCTTTTTCTTTCTTACTTCACAATCTTATATGAGATCCGCAACATTCGAAGGCAACTCCTCCACCACAACATTATAAAACTTCTGAATATCCGCAAGCATCCGTTCATCATCCAAAGTCACAAAATTAATGGCCACACCCTTTCTCCCAAACCTCCCACTTCGCCCAATCCTATGAAGATAATTCTCAGGCTGTGTTGGAAGATCATAATTGATAACAAGTGACACCTGTTGCACATCAATCCCACGTGCCAAAAGATCTGTAGTGATCAACACACGTGAAGATCCCGATCGAAACTCCCGCATGATGATGTCACGCGTGTTTTGGTCCATGTCACCGTGGGTGGCCGAGACAGTGTGGTCCCGGGAACGCATTTTGTCGGTCAACCAGTCAACCTTTCGGCGCGTATTTACGAAAATAACACTCTGGGTGATTGCTAGGGTTTCGTAAAGGTCACAGAGTGTTTCGAGTTTCCATTCTTCTTTTTCAACATTCACATAAAACTGTTTGATACCTTCGAGGGTAAGTTCGTCTCTTTTCACCAAAATCCTCACGGGTTTGTTCATGAACTTCCGGGTGATTTCTAAAGCTTCTGGTGGCATTGTAGCGGAGAACACACCCACTTGGACTTTCGATGGTAACAACTGGAAGATATCATAGATCTAAAAAAAAAAAAAATTAAATCACTCGCTTTTAAGAAGATTAAGGGTTCAAGATTGGAAAAAGTACCTGATCTTTGAAACCTCTTGAGAGCATTTCATCAGCTTCATCCAAGACAAACATCTTGATGTAATCGGCACGTAGTGACTGCCTCCTGAGCATGTCAAAGACACGTCCAGGTGTCCCAACAACCACGTGGACCCCAGCAGAGAGGATCCTCTGATCCTCACGAACACTGGTCCCTCCCACGCACGCGTGGACTTTGACTCCAAGGTAGTCCCCTAGGGCCCGCATGACTTTTTCAATTTGTTGAGCAAGTTCACGAGTGGGTGCAAGTACCAAAGCTTGACACTCGACTACATTGTAGTCAAGTTGTTGAAGGATTCCAGAGCAAAAGGTTGCAGTCTTTCCTGTTCCTGATTGAGCTTGTTGGATCACATCAAGACCCTTGCAGAATGGGACTATTCCCCTTTGTTGAATTGCAGATGGTTTTTCAAAACCTGGTTATTAAATTTTCATGTTGACATGTTAGAAACTTATAATATGTGTTGATATGAAACAAATATGATTAGTTGAGTACTGATTTACCATATGCATAGATGCCTCTCAAGAGGTTTTCTTGCAAACCCATGGCATCAAAACTATCATAAACTTCATCGTATGAGGTGAAAAAGTCTTGGCCATCGGTTGAAAGCCTGTAGTAGTAGTAATAAAAGAAAGTAATTATCACATGAAAGTAAAGGTTAAATGGATAATCTTTTTAGAATAGTGTGAAGAGGTGAAATGAAAAACTTACAATTCATTCATTTTGGAATCAAATTGCTGAGCATTAAACTGGGAACCTTCTGGTGCTGCTCCTGCCATGACTGAAAGACAAACAAAGGGTTAGTAACTTAGTTTTTCCCTTAATCTTCCATAAATGAAGTATAACCTTGAGATATTATGACATATTCAATATTATGAGTATGATTTGATGTTGCTCTTAATGAAGTATTTGACACATAAATCATTCTACATGGACAAAGCCACATTGTATAAGCATATGGCTATGCTTTTCATTGATTATCAAACAAAAAACATGAAATTACTCTAAAAGTTATGCTGGAGGGGTGTCATGAATGCTGACATGCTACAAAAAACCAACAAAGAAGACAAAAATATACATATAATACATGTATATAGGGTGATAGGATAGAAAAATATAATATGCAATTATCTAGAACATAGATGGCGTCAGCTATATTTAGTTCGTCATTGTACAAGCTTTAATTGATCTTTGTAGAACCAAAAAAAATCATCTCTGGAATCTTCTTTTAGGATTTCTTTACAAAATTTCAACTATCATCCAGTCTATAAGCAAACTGTTAGTAATCAGTGTGTTTTGTAGTCCTAACAGTGAATCGCAAAGAGATTTCCTTCATTAACAACATCAACAAGTTATTTCATCGGGTACGCACAAAATCTAATCCTCAGATTACAAATCACATCTTTTAAAGTTCACAAATCTACACTGATCTGGATGGGCTCTTGAATTTGAAGCTACGTTGCGATTCAATCCGAAATAATAATATACGAATCTCCAAAAACTGGAAAGCAGAGTACTTAACTTACAAAGTGAATAAAGAAACAGCCCTTTATCATCTACAAAGATTAGCTATATAAATCGATCTACGAATACATAAAACCTAGATCGTAAAAACATAGACTGATACATATACACACAACAACAGAATATCGAGTAACCATAAAGCTGGATGAAAAAGATTAAATTAGAGTAAAAGTAGGGATCTACAGCACCTGATTTGCAGATTGGTGGAAAGATTTAGAGAAAAAGTTGAGAGATTTTTGAGGAGGCTTTTTAGGGTTTTCTCAAACTCCTCGGGTGGCCGTGGAGTTGAGGGAATTTGAGTGCGAGTGAAAGAAAAGGGTGTGTGTTTTGAGATGAGTATTGAACGGGAAAATCTTACCCTATTTTTACTCCTTTTATTTCTTGACGATTTTGCCCTTTGTTCTATATTGACGATTCTACCCCTGGTTCTTTTTTTCTTGACGATTTTATCCCTGGTTTCTTTTTAGCTGGACGATTTTACCCATGGTTTCTTTGATATGAAAATATCAAAGTTTTCTCTATTATTATTATTATTATTATTTTACTTTTCATAAATTAAAATTTCATGGACGTGGCAACTACGCAGAGGCCACTAATTCTTTTGTTTTTTATGTGTATTATTATTTTCTGGCAAGAAAAGATATCCCTTACTTAGACGTGGCAAATTTGGTTTGTTAAACATGTATTAAAAGAAGCTTTCTTGGTATTGGGTTTACCTTTTTTTCATAGAACGGACGGTCTATATATTCTAATAACTTTTAAATCATTTTTATTTTTATTTATGTCGCTAACAAGATTTAAACCATCTATGTTTGTTAAGGATTTACATGAAAGTATGTTTCTTATCTATATTTTCATGATAAATTTATGTTTCTTATCTATATTTTCATGATAAATTTATTAAAATACTTGTATCATTATAAGGATAAAAATAAATTATTTCTAATTTATTCATCTCAAATTACTATAAAAAGGTTAGCGTTGTGAGAAGATCATTTTTTGGTAGTTAAAAAGAATAACCATCATATCCGCAAATTAAAGGTCGTGATGTTGCGATAAAAATAAATTATTTCTAATTTATTCATCTCAAATTACTATAAAAAGGTTAGCGTTGTGAGAATATCATTTTTTTTAGTTAAAAAGAATAACATTTTTATGCAAGGTCACCAAACATGAGAAACCGTGTATGGAAAATCAACACG